CCCTTGGCTCCCGCTGTCTGCGTTTGGAGCCGGAGGCAGCGCGCTCGGGGGGAGTAGGCCACGTCACATAAAGCCCATTGGTGTGAACTGTGCGGGGGAGCTCCCCGGCTGCCAGCGCTTCAGGGATCTGAAAAGCAGAATGATCCTGCCTGAGGATTTTCACAGGGAAGGGGGGAAATGTGTTTGGTACCGTGGCCCAAAAGCCTCCTATCCCCGTAGCTGTAAATCAAGGGTGAACCATTTATTTTATTTTTTAGGCCACGTCACATAAAGCCCATTGGTGTGAACTGTGCGGGGGAGCTCCCCGGCTGCCAGCGCTTCAGGGATCTGAAAAGCAGAATGATCCTGCCTGAGGATTTTCACAGGGAAGGGGGGAAATGTGTTTGGTACCGTGGCCCAAAAGCCTCCTATCCCCGTAGCTGTAAATCAAGGGTGAACCATTTATTTTATTTTTTTTTTGGCCCAAGGGCCGCATCAAGGGGTGGATATTGTACAGCTGGCCATGAACGTTTATGAAATTGGGGTTGGGTGTGGGAGGGGATGAGGACCACAACGGGGGCTGCTGGGGTGGGACTGGGAATGAGGAGTTTGGGATGTGGGAGGGGGCTCAGGCTGGGATCAAGGTTTGGAGTGCTGGCTCTGGGGTGAGGAGCTAGGAAGCAGGAGGGCGCTCAAGAATAGGAAAGGGATCAGAGCTCGGGCAGGGTGAGGGAATTGGGGTGTAGAAAGAGGTCAGGGGTGCAGGTTTCGTGCAGCACATTTCCCCCCCTCAGGTTCCTACACTGAGGCACTGCCAGGCTGCTCTGCATGTGTCCCCATCTGCAGGTGCCACCCCTATAGCTCCCATCGGCCATGGTTCCCACCACATAAGAGCAGTGGGGGGGCAGTGCTTGGGGTGGGGGCTGCACATGGAGCCTTTTGAGTGTTCTTCCCCATAGGAGCTAGAGTGGGGACAGGCTGCTTCCGGGAGGCATGTGTGGAGCAGGGAAAATCCCTGATCCCTCTCCCTAGGGGGAATACCAGAGTGGGACCTGGGGCCTGCTCTCCAATGGGAACTCAAGGGCCAGATTAAAATGGCTGATGGGTCAGATGCGGCCCGAAGGCCGAAGTTTGCCTACCCCCACTATAAATGGATAAGTCATAAGTTAACATTTATACCAGTAGTAAACAACCTGGCAGGCCACATACAGGTCATTAGGGGTGTTTGGCCCATGATAAATTTTGTTTACTATTACCTACATGCAGAATCTCTAGATTCTGCTGGTTTACATCTGTTATTTTTTCCCTACTGGTGTTACTAAAGTGACACGCACGTAAACCAAGGGGGCGCACAAAGTAAAGTGCATGCTGTTTGCCTACAACACTGAGGGTGCGTCTAGACTGGCAAGATTTTGCGCAAATTACTGATTTTATAATGTACAAAATCAGTGCTTCTTGCGCAAATACTTTCACGCTCCCACTCAGGAAAAAGCCCACTTGCGCAAGAATACTTGCTCAAGAGGGCCAGTGTAGACAGGAAAGAACTGTTTTGCACAAAAAAGCCCCGATGGCTAAAATGGCGATCGGGGCTTTCTTGCACAAAATCGCGTCTAGATTGGCACGGATGCTTTTGCGCATATAGACGCACTTTTGCGGAAATACTTTTAACAGAAAAACGTTTCCATTAAAAGTATTTCTGCAAAATCATGCCAGTCTAGACGCAGCCTGACTGTGAGAGCTTCCTTCTACATCCACTCAGCACTTCTACGGTTCAATCAGAACACCCTGCAAATTCTTGTAATGTGTTAAGGGGATGCTAGATGTGTGCAGCATTTTCTGTCCTGTAGTCTTATCGTTGGCAACATTTCAGATGGTTCAGAAATTTGTGAACACAAATCTATTAAGTTTTGTACATTTGATGCATCTTGAAATGTACATTTTTTGAACACAGAATGACCCCATTGTGTGGTATACTTTTCTCTTGTGAAAGGTTTAAATTAATTAAAAGTGTGATTGTAAATTGTGTGTCTTAAAATGTAAAGAACCAGACATCCATCCAGAGAGGAAAACTGTCTTTGAACATATTTTAGCTGATGAACAACCTCATTTATGTACACATTTCACTTTATTCTTATATTTCAATTTGGATCTATATTTATTTCTAGTATCCAAGCCAGCACCTTATTGGGAAGGAACAGCGGTAATTAATGGAGAGTTTAAAGAGCTGAAATTAACAGATTATAAAGGAAAATACCTTGTCTTTTTCTTCTACCCTCTTGACTTGTAAGTAAAACTGATGCAGACAGACCAAGATGTACACTTCCTACTCCACCCTTCCTGAATTTTGGAAATGTGTTGATTAGCATCAGGAAGCATTAAGATGTTAATTGCAACTGCACTTGACATTTTGTAGTTCTGTAGCATCTTAGTAGGCAATGTTTACAATCTTTGCTATCACAGGACTAGCTGCATACAGGAAAGAATAACATTGTCTCTTATGTCTTCACTTCATATGCTCTGCAAGATATTTCTTCTTTCACAGACTTTCAAGCATGTTATGGGATGCATTTAACTTATATTATTGGATGGACTTTACTTTCATTACACTATTGTAACTCCACTGCAGAAAATAGAGTTACTCCTGATCACGGTTGACAAGAGACTTCACTGGGCCCTGGTGAGAGCTGGTTCCTGGCCCCTCCAAAAGGAATGGGGCCTTTGGTGGAAGAGGTGGCACTGCGGTTGATCTCCCCCAGCCAGCCCTTCAGTGCCACCAAGAGCTCCAGCAGCAATTTAAAGAGTTTAGGGTTCTTGCCACTGCAGCTGTCATTGTAGTGGCAGCTGGGAGCCCTGGGCTCTTTTAAATCACTGGGTCCTGAGGCAGCTGCTCCCTTGCTTCCACTCCTCAATTGGCGGCCTCACTTCTGATTTATACCAAGGAGAATCAAGACCCTTGTTTTCCTGAAATGAGGAACAAAGCAAACTAGTAATATTAATAACTCATCTAGCACTTTTGGTAGAACTTAGGGATGTAAAAGGTTAACCGGTTACCCAGTAAGCATTAGGCGTACTGGAATGCTTACCAGGTAACAGGCAGTGAGACCCCAACCTCTGCTACACTGGCATGGCCTGGAGTGGGGAGGCAGGTGGGACCCCAGCCCCAGATGCTGGTCCACCAACAGCTTACCAGTTAAACAATATAACTTTAATTGTTTATCTGGTTATTTATTGTAATAGATATTTGCATCCTAGTAGAACTCAAAGCCCTTTACAAAGGAAGGGTGAGTAGTAGGGATGTAAGCGACTAGTTGAGTAGCTGACTACCTAATATGCATATGCTTATTTCTTAGTTGAGTCACTACTCGACTAGTCGTTCCCCTCCCCCCTTGCTGCCTCTATCAGCTACATTTGAAAGGCAGTGGGAATAGCGAGCACCCACCTCCGTCTTTATCGACTACTTGATTAGCTGATTAATTAAAATGTAACATCCCTAGTGAGTAGTAGAGACAGTTAGCTGCACTGATAATTAGAATACTGATTTATTTTCCTCCTACTCTCAAAGGGTACTCCTACACTGCAGTGTTTTTTCAGAATAACATAATCTGCGTCTACACTACCAATATTTATTTCAAAATAATGGTGAGCTGGCAGACTTCTTACTCCCTCCTGTAACCCTCATTTTACGAGGTGTAAGGGAAGTCGGAAGAAGAGTGCTCTTTCTTGGACTCCCTACTGCGTAGACAGCACCAAAAGCCAAAATAAACTATTTCGACTTAATTCATGCAATTGACATAGCTCAAGTTGCACAGCTTATTTCAGCTTTAACCCTACCGTGTAGACGTGCCCAAAGATTCAACAATTGTGATCTAAAGTGTAATTTTGTGTCTAGAAGAAGCAGGAAGAGGTAAATGCAAAATAGCTACAACTTGCATTACTATTTTCTCTGAAACTTGGTGTGTCATTCTTGAATCTCAGTAATTTATGTACAAATTTAAAATCTGAATAATTGTGACTATATCTAAATTGTAAGATGTAATATTAAGTCAACACTGACTGCATTTTCAGTCTTATTCACAATTCACTGACAATTTACTTCAGGGTTTGATGATAGATAATCCATTTGTGAACACATTTATGAATGCTATTAGGAATGCAGTTACTTGTAAAGTGTAAATTATTATTCACTTGTGTGCATTGGATTCTACGTGTAAATAAAAGCAGTAATTGTGTTAAGTAATTCATCATTTATCTATTTTAAATACTTCAGTCAATATCTAGCTTCTCTGTAGAAACTAATTTACCTACATATTGAGCTAACAGAAGTCAATCCTGGATATACTGAGAATTTTCTGAACTTACTTCACTTTCAATTTTTTAGCACATTTGTGTGTCCAACTGAAATTATCGCCTTCAGTGACAGAATTGAAGAATTCAGAGCAATAAATACTGAAGTGGTAGCTTGTTCTATTGACTCACAATTCACTCACTTAGCATGGTATGTAGCCTACCTATGACTCTTTTATAGAAAACTAGAAGATTTTATGGGCATTGCTCGGGTCCGTAATTAATTTTTGTTTTTTCAAAAATCAAATGAAATTGTACATACTTCATTTAAATCATTGCTCTGGGGTGGGGCTGGAGATGAGGAGTTCAGTATGCAGGCTGCCTCTGGGAGAGGACTACCCCAGTCCCCTCTCTCTGCAGCAGGTAGCAGCCTGGTGAGATGTGCCTCTCCATAGCCACTGCAGCTCCAGCAGGCAGAGCAGGGGGAGGAGTGCATGTCCCCCAGTTAGGGCAGGTGCAGGTTCGTCTGCTCCCTGCGCTCCCCAGCCAGAATGAGGAATGCAGCAAACTGTGCACTTTCACAACAGAATCAGAGGTGGGGAGCTTCAGTCACCCTCCTGCTCTCCCTAAAGGCTGGGAGTTGGGCCAGTCCTGATATCGTATTATAAGAAGCAGTCCCATTCCAAGCACATCTCATTGTTCTGGCACAACCAAACCCTTTCCTTGCTTTAAGTTACAATAAGAGGAAGCTGTATACTGAATTTGATGATCCTAACTCTTACAGTTTAGAAGGAGTTCTTGAACAAACAAACAAACTCAAATATGTAGTCGATTATTGGTGGATACATATTAAGATATGGGTTGCTTCCCCAGATTTTCCTATTCTGCCTGATAGTTGTTCATTACAAATTATGCATCCAACTTTATGATCAGACGTTCTGTGACAGTTTAACACCAAAAAAATCTTCACTGGGGTGTTGTTTTTAATTGTGGGATTTGGAAGAAAGGTGGGATAGTTTGGCCACAGACAGAGAAGGAAGGTGTTTCACGTGCAAATGAAGCATGGAAGGAGGCATGAAAAGGAGTGTAAGGGAGCTGTA